GACGAGACGCTTTTGCATTAGTTTGATGAGCTCGGGAAACTGCAAGGCTACGGAGGGGAAGAATGGGCTAACATTTCTCATCAAACGGATGCAGAGAGGAAGGACCCATCATCCCCTACTCCATGACCATCTGGAGAACCAAGAGTCTCATCTCTTCAGAGCCCAGCATTGGAGTTCTGCTGTGGTTAGCAACAAGTATTAGATAAAGATAAATTTATTGTCATTGTACTCAGAAACCCGAGAACAACGAAAATTAGAATATTGTAAGAGAGTCATGTTAGTTTATGGTAGCAAAACAATCGGCTCACACATTTTATTCCAAAGCATTTGCTTGCTAGTAATGTTAGGGTAATTGTATTGGTAGGACAGGTAAGGAATCGAGTAGCTAAGAGCAGAAAACACCTTCTACGGATGGCTTCCTTTGGACTTAGAGGAGAGTTTTAATCCAAACCATTTTCAGAACATGACTGTCCCCTCCACCAGGTAGACCAGACCAGAAAACCCACTCCGTGGGAAGGCTAAAAGTAATCTTATTGAAGTTGGCTTTAATAACAGAAGTTTGCAAGTCTTGATTATGCCGCGCCTTCTCCTTCTCTCACCCCGCGGTGAGTTAGCTAGGTGTCTGCTTGAGCTCTTTCCAAATATGATCTTATTCTGGACGTTAAAAAAAAAGCATTCGTCCCCTTTTGCCTGTGCAACAATCCCTGTGTCTTTCAAGCTCAACTTTGCTTTTTCTGTCTACCATGGCAGAAGGAATGCTTGGAAACCGAGTTAGTTTAGTCCCTCGATGAAAGCCAAGGAATTTTATTTTGGGGGGGGTCGGGGGTGGGGTGGAATAGTGGGAAATGAAAGCCTAATTCCAAAGCAAAGCAGAGGGTGGATTTCTGCACTGGTCAGCGGATGGAGCGAAAATGCATCCCAGTGAGGTTTTAGGAGAATTGACTTTTTTTTTTCTTTTTCTACAGCAGAGGGGGGAAAAAACTGTTAATTATTTACACGAATGCTGCATGTGTGCATGGGGGGAAAAAAAATACGACCTATTGGCAATAGCTGTTTTACTTTCCAAGAGAGCCTTATCCAAAAATATATTTAAAAAGTAGAACTTTATTTTGTAGGACCTGTAGGGAATATATATTTTAAATACATGTATGGGGGGGGGCGGGGTCGGGAGGGGAATAAAAGGCTTACCTCAGTAATTCGCAAGGGGGAAGAAAAAAGAAAAATCCTCCATGAAGGCTTTTTTTTAAAATTTCAATTGGGCAAATTCACAGTGAAGTTGACTTGGGAATTAACATACCGACCTAGATTTATAAAAAAAAAAAAAGTCAGGAATCTGGACCGCTGCACTTTTCCAAGAAGACATACCTGCAGAGGGATACAAGAAATGCCCAGGACCAACCTTTCTGCTTTCTGATGGAGGTATGATGGATGCAAAAATATGGGTAATCTATAGAAGCTTATCCGGTTCGTTAAATGTATGCAAGTTTTCAGGGGAACGTTTTCTCCGGCGGGAGAAATGACGGCTGCAGATCCAGGGAACGTTTATGCTGCATTCGAGACTGCTGTACTATGTAACGGGGTGTCCTATAGCCAAAATGAAGGGGGTAGAGATGATGTATGGGGGGGGGGGGGGGGGGGGAGAAGGCACATTACATCCAGCAGGAGGCACTGAAAAGCAGACCCGTTCCTTTAAAGGAGAATACAAACGTTGTAATGGCAATACTTTTTTTAAAAAGCAAGACGCATTTGTAATATTTGTTGACCAAACAAAGGTAATACAGCTTGTTAAAAAATAAAACTGAATTTCTCTCTGTTGCATTTTGTTTCCACCACCACCACCACCACCACCTATGATTATTTCTAAGCCTTGGGGTACACTGATCTGTGTAAAGTGCTCGTTGTTTTAAAGCAAAAAACGTAACAGAATAACAGAGGTCTTGGAAGGGGCCTTGAAGGTCTTCTAGTCCAACCCCTTGCTCAAGCAGGAGACCCTAAACCAGACAAGCGCTGTCCAGTTGAGATGGGGTACTGACAGCTTTTGGAGGCAAGTTGTTCCACTTGCTGGTTAACTATTCTTTTTTCTTATTTCTAGATTGGTTCTCTTGATTAGTTCCCTTCGTTTCCTATTTTGCCTTCTGGTATTTTGGGAAACAGTGTGTTCCAGGGGTGGGATTCTACCAGTTCACACCTATTCGCTAGAACCGGTTGTTAACTTTCTAAGCAGTTCGGAGATTCAGTTGCTAGAAGAAATTACAGGGCTAATCCTGTCAGGAAGGCAGGAAGGAAACATTCTGGTGTTGCTTACAGAAACTGCCTCTCCGTTAATCCTTATTACATTCTTGGCAGGACTAGACTTCCTGTCTCTGGAACGTCTCTGGAGTTGTTTTTCCCCTCCTTTGCTGGCACTTTGCTTGTGTGGAGGGACCGTTCAAAGCTACAATGGCACTGAAAAAAGTGACTTATGACCATTTTTCACACTTACGACTGTTGCAGCATCCCCACAGTCATGAGGCCAGGCAAGGAGATGCGTGCCTCAATGTGAGTGATATTGAGTTGGCCAACACCCAGCCAATAACATGACCAAGGCATATCCACCCAGTCACGACCATCAAGCCACGCCCACCAACCAAGCCACGCCCACAGAACCAGTTGTTAAAATTTCTGAATCCCACCCCTGGTTTGTTCTCTTCTTCTTTGTGGCAGCCCCTCAAATATTGGGACACTGCTGTCATGTCACCTCTAGTCCTTCTTTTCTCTAGACGAGACATACCCAATTCCTACAACCGTTCATGTTTTATGAATCATCTTCGTTGCTCTTCTCTGCACTCCTTCCAGTCTCTATATCTTTTTTACAATATGACGACCAAAACTGGACACATTATCTTGATTCTGTCCCTGTTAAGCCTAGGATTGTGTTGGCTTTTTTGGCTGCTGCCGCACACGGCTAGCTCATCTTTAAGTAATTGTCTACTAGAACCCCAAAATCCTTCCTATATTTACTGCTGTTGACTCATCGGGTTTTTCTTGCCTAAGTGTAAAACCTTTATTTTTCTCTACACTGAATTTCATCGGTTGGGATCTCAATTGCCAAGCGTTCTATAGTCTGGAATGACTTATGCCCAAGTGGACACAAACAGCCTTTTGTCTGACTTGATTCTGTCAGCACTGCCGGTGGTCACCAGGTCTGGAAAAAATTGGAGGCCGAAAAGAGGAGTTAGTGGCCATGTTGTTTTGGGGCCTCCAACTCCCCCCGAATCTTCTTTTAATCCTCTTGGCATGCTGTAAGATAAAGGAAGTGGCTGATGGAGCTCTGTTCATCCAGAATGCTTTGTCCATCACAGAAGCATCCAGTAAAATAAAAAATGTATTTGGAGAACTTGCTTTCTTTTCCCACGATAACAAAACACCCAAAGTTTAAAGCTCTGCCAATGGAACGCAATTAACAGTGCAAAGTGGAAACGTAAATGAATCAGATTTGCATGTCAAGTCGATCCGTGTAATTTATTGACACGTTAATTCCAATTATCTTCCCGCAGCTCAAGGGCCCTCTTTCCCCCCCCACCCTGTTTTTTTTAAACCTCAAAGGCCCATCAGAGTCTTTAATTCCAAGTAAGTTCACTCCACAAACCTCTGAACAATCCCCTGTGATTCTTTTATTAGAATTCCAAAAATGAATAATTTTAAATCAATCTTAAAAAATACTCGGTACAGAATGTGCATAACAGTACAAAGCAATTTACAAAAAAAAAAAAAAAAAGTGAATGCGAGAAGGGAAAGAACCAAAAAAAAAAAAGTGTGCAGAAAAATAACAACGCTCTGGAGAAAGAAAACAAAAAAAAAACAAAATATGACTGGACTACAGCAATGCCCTCGGTGTGCCTTACACGTCATGAGCACTGCAAGACTGGCAGACAAGCTGAGTGGAGTAGCTTTCAACGCAGCAGGAGGAACAGATCTGCAAGAAGCATTTCCTTCCTTCCTTCCTTCCTTCCTTCCTTCCTTCCTTCCTTCCTTCCTTCC